CAATAATGCGGTTGAACAAGGGTGTTCGCACGTGAATGCAGAGATTAAACAAAGATTCCTATAAGCACCCATTGTAGTATAGTAGAAGATCCCACGAGGGCAATCCGAGGATGAGCAGAAGTTTGACGATGAGTTAGACGTGGATGGATAGGCGTCAGTACGTGTGAGCATGATAGTCGAGCCGGATTTCCCTTCATCACCCTCTGTGGTCAAACTAAGGTCCCCACATGGGCGATTTGTGGTCGAGCAGGGGCTCCTACACGAGTACAACGTGGATAGACAAAAGTCACCACACGAGACATGAAGGTTGAACCGGGGTTCCCATCATCACCCACTGTGGTCGAACCAGGGTTCACAAATGGGCACATTGTGGTTGAGCAGGGGCTGCCACATGGGATTACGGCGGCCGAGCAGGAGCTCCCGCATCAAATATCGACGGTCGAGTATGGGCAACTCCCGTCATGTGTTTCCGACATTAAGGATGAGGACATCCAGTAACTAAAAGGGAAGTGATGGTTAATCACCTGACTGCGGACCTCCAGTTTCTAGTAGTGACTCAAAGCTCGATAGGTACGCAAGCATCGAGGACTCAGACTTTCGAGAACGATCCAGAGTATGCGAACATTATACGCTAATCTGCGTCCTTCCAGTGAGTGATGTCACACTGGGAACTTAATCACGAACCAAACGTGACTAAATTTGTCGATACAGTTTGGACGGAGACTTGCTTCTGTACAGCATCGCATAATTCGATGCTCCTCGCACGGTGATCACCAACGACATAAAGTTGCGTGATAGGATCATCAACGAGTATCACGATGCCCAGCTAGTGGCCATTTAGCCGCGAAAGACTTCCGTGGCTGTGTTTCGAGACTTCTTCTGGCGTTGCGAATGCATGAAGGTCGGGAAGAAAGACGACCTGGAGATCTTTCTGCACTTTCCTTAAGGTATGGTGATGGAAGGGAACAAATCAAAGATAGCTATCTAAGGCGACAGAGGCCAGGTAGCGTGACGTTTATAGAATATCCTCTACGGCCTAAAACAGGCTGGAAGACTCTAGCCGAGCTCTTGCACAAGACGCTTGTGGAATTTAATTTCGTGCAGTGTTACACTGACAGCTGTCTGTGCTATAAGAAGAGCGCTTCCGAGACCACGATTGTCGGTGTGTATGGCCTTTTGGTGACTTAAACGAAAACGAACCTTGTTATACACTTCTTTCGAGACATGTGCGTGCTAAAGGTGAAGGATCTCGGAATGGTGGCGAAGTCAATAGGCTGGGGGTATCGTACGACAATAAGAAAGGAGTCTTAATTGAGGAAGAACAGTGCATTCGAGAGCTACTCGTTACAATTGGACCTGAGCTGGCGATCCCTGTACGAACACAAATTGGAGAGGATCAAGACAATGAAGACGATGGCGATCTTCAGCCTGGAGGAAGCGGTGGAAAAGTGGAGCAACTGACGATAGCTACGTTCCAATCCTTGATCAGAAGTCTACGCGCAGTGTCTGTGTGATTGGCGATGGGCATAGCGGATAGTAAAGTATCTGAAGGAAAAATAAGCTTATCGTTTCAAATGAACGACGATGATGGTAAAATTAAGGATCAAATCAGATCACTAGAAGCCTACAGCGACGCTGATTACGCAGCAGACAGCAGGATTGTGTAAGTTTGTGAGTGATGACGTGTTGTGAGTGATCGTGGGTGTATTTTACAAAAACAAGCAAGTGTGGCTCTATCTACAATGGAAGCGAAGTTTGTAGCGGACTCGCTGGTAGCGAGTGAGATACTGGAATGTTTGAGCTACTTGATGAGGTTGGAATCAAGGTGGAAGCCGCAATGTTGCTGCGCATCGACAACCAGGAGGCTATTAAGCAGATCACCGGCAAGGACAGGTCATGCAGGGGGAAACACATCGCGGTGCGATATATGGTTACAGCTAGAAGGGCGTGATCAAGGTGGCTTCTGCGAATATAGGATGACGAAAGATGACGTGTTCACCAAGACAGTCGCTGCTACGCGTACTTCGCGAGTTAATGTTTCTGATGTGAGGACATCCCGGGAAGGTGTGTTGGAACGGTGCGATTTATGTAGCTTAGACTGTTCACTAACAGGCGACTGTTCGCTTTGTCCACTAGAGATTCGTAAATAACGGACAGACACGAGCGTGAAAGGATAAAGTCGTTGTGGTGAAGTGCCAGGAGAATCGGGGCCCAGGGTACCAAGTACCCAGGGTACTAGGGTACAGGGGCCCCAGGGTACAAGGGCCCAGGCCTCGCAAGGCCCCAAGGTTCAATCGAGGGTCACCAGGGACAGGGTTTTCAGTCACCAGGGACCGGAGTACTAGTCATCAAGGACAGTGTTTTCAGTTACCGGGGACAGGGATACCAGTTACCGGGGACAGGGTTTCTAGTAGCCAGGGACAGGAATACCAGCTACCGGAAACAGGGGTACCAGTCACCGGGGTTAGGGGCACCAGTTACCGGGGACAGGGTTTAAAGTGACCGGGGACAAGGGTATCAGTCACCAGGAACAGGGCACCAAAGACAGATTAACCAGCTACCGGGGACAGGGGTACCAGGGCCCAGGGTACCAGGGACCAATGTCCGAGGGTGCAGAATCGGTACACGTAATATCAAAGATTACAGAAAGTACAGGTACTAAGGAGCCAGTTCTTCCTCCCAGAGTCAACACGTGGCACTATCCAGATCGAAGGGTTAGAGTTAGGTAAGAAAAGCATACAAGGTATAAGGTAAATGAATACACTCGAATTTGCATTACACGTGGCAGCTCCAAGCGCTTCCTTCAAGCTTCTCTGTCACCTCACCTATTCCGGGCGGGATACCCTTTGGCGCACCGACGTCAGGTGAGGTGACAGCTCAAGCAACGCAAGTTGAACCTCAGAATAGTTGGCCTGAGGTGTCAAGTTAGTGTCAAGACTCAAGTTCGAGCTTGTTTCGATCTACCCACCTGTTCCGGGGAAGGGATTTATTTTGGCCCCCCCCCCCCGTTGAAGACAGTGGTGTGGTAAGATTCAAGCTCGAACGAATCCCAGGAAGTATTTTGGCCTGTGGGTTTGTACCCATTTAAGACCCGCTATAGGAAGCGATTTCCCTACGGGGAACAAGAAAAGGGTTCGAAAGACCAAGAAACCGTTAGACACCGAGAGGGGTACATAGTACCAGGTGCATTGCTCTCGACACAGTCGATTGAGCCCAAGAAACCTTGGGCCCGAGTGAAGCATATCCACTCGTGGCCCCCAAGTCCCTCCATACAAGGACCAAGTCTATAAGTCTTCTGCGTCTAACGAGGAGCAAGACCAGCCAAGCCGACGAATACACAAGGTGAGACCCAAGGTTGACGCTACACGGTATCGGGTACCCCCTCCGTAAACGGCAGTCCGGAGCTATGTGTGTTTGTGGTTCTCTCACGTCGTTGAGAATCCACTTCACCACATCGTCTAGTATCACTCTTAGTTCTACATCTACCTCTTCAGGCGAACCTCGACGGCATTGTATACAAGCTTCGATAATGGACATGTCGAAGTATCGCTTGCGATCAAATACGTACAATTGTGCGATGGATGTCCTCAGGAAGGAAGGAAGGAAGGAAGGCAGAAGCCGTAATCTTAAAAAAACAAGTTTCGTCAAAAGCATTTCATCCATCATTTTTAAACTTGTCAGAGTATATAATTTGATCTTGGAAAAGCCAATCGGCTCCTAAAAAGATACTAGTAACTACTTAAGGATCCGATTGGCTTAGAAAACTATTTTCAGATCAAATTATTCCACGGCGAAAACATTGCAATTGCGTCACCACGTGTATATAAAGAGGCAAGATGTGCGATGACGTAGGCTCATGATTGTAGCTGTTAAGCATGTGGGAAAAAAACAGGGATATCGATAAAGCGCAAGTCAAAACAATGCAATGTCATTAGGTGTAGCCAAATTCCACTACTTTTCGTTCAGACTTTTTAAGGACGCATTTTCCCATAAAGATGAAATATCTTGCTCATCTTTTGTCATTTTCTTGGCTACTTTTGTTCTAATAGTTTTTCGAGATTTGACTTCACGTGCTCGTCGTCGTTTCTCACGCAGGAGTTGGTAAAATTTCATTGTTACAATAGTGATTAGACAATAAATTGGTCTATCACCAATTTCAATTAACTGTAGCCATGTTGGCGACAAAAAGTATCGTACATGGAGGGTCGTTAGAATGGATAATATTAGACTCAAGATCGAGTAGACTTAGGGCCTCACTATCACTCATCCTATTTTCCCTCGTAGGATCTACAAAGGTGGGTACAATAGTTGGTCATAATAAGTATGCCGAACAGATCATCAAGGTCGGAGCTTGATGGTCTACAAAGTAATTCATCCTCATGAAAAGTCACTTTCTTGTGCAAGAACAATTTGTCAGGATGTGATCTGGGTTGTGCAAGCGCAAGTTTCAACAAGCAGTGAATACAAGGATCACTTGCACCACTGACTGCCTTTTCTTCGCCGGAGAGATTCAATCAAGTCAACGACGACAAAAGTTAGATGAAGATGGTCTGCTGTGCGTCGTCTCGACTGGTATGCGCATAATTCCATAGAAATCGTGCTCGGTGCCACGCTACACCCGAGCTTTCAACTATAGCTGGAACATTCGAAGTGACGTTGACATAACTTAGTTAAACGGAGTGGCAGTAAAAAAGTTCATGTCCCAAGAGGCATCTCAATGCAGCATCACTGCGGTTAATGGACCCACAATGACTTAAGCTCTCAGCAGCCTCATAACAACAGTGTCAGTCATGATTTCCTTGGTCCTGTCAGCCTCGTCAACTTTGTCAACCTTTAGGAAGCAGCAGCAACAACACCAAAGCTAATAGCGTTTTCAGAGACATGCTTGTCATCGTCGTATTTGTGCTCTTAAGCTCTTGTTTACAACTAGCAGCTACTTCTCTATACCCCATTAACATGTTTCAGTCTCCAGACACTCATCAGAAAAGAGCGTGAACCGTCTATTTGAAGGACAGCAGCTCCACCTCGAAGATGAGCGTAGCCTTCGGCGGGATCACAGGCGGATGTCCTCGTTCACCGTACGCATACTCGTGAGACAGCGTGAGCTTGGCAATCTGGCCCTTGCTCATCATAGCTACTCCCTCGTCCCAGCCACGGATCACCTCACCGGCGCCTAGCTTGAACTGAAACGGATGTTCACGATTTTGATTCGAGTCGAACGGTTTTCCGTCGGGAAACGTGCCCTTGTAAAGCACGGACACGGTCTGGCCTTGCTGCGGAAAGCTAACGCCGTCGCTGTCGTAGAGTTAAATTAATTAGAAGTTAGAATATGCGCATAGTGTTATCGAGCAAAGGTAGAAGATATACCCAGGGTTAATAGATTCGATTTCCATTGTTGACTGGTCTCAGTAAATGCGAAAGTGAGCTATGTGAGTGGAAGTAAGCCCTGAAGTAGGTGGTAAGTGTCTCACTTAGCTCGTTTCGTCCAATCAGAATCGAAGCGAGTTTTCACAGGATACTTTTGTGTTTTGACCAATCCGGATCAAAACACGCTCTCGTAACAAATGTTTCTATAGATCTACCGTCACTAATAATAAAATACGTCCGCCGTTGCTCTACAAGTGTTCGGATCTTAAATTCTTATTCTAGCCTATCCGCTGCGCTGATTGGCAAAAAGTGCCGACTGAATGTGTTTCTTTTTTTCCGTTTCCTCCGCGATTCGCATTTGGAACGAGGTCTTTTTGCTCTCATACTTTACTTGGTCCCTAAGTAAGGTCCTTTGTGAAAAGTCCCTAACCTCTTCTATCCTCAGTCTACCACGATGCTCCGCCGTCTCCCCTCTACTTCCTCATCCCTTGCCAGCTTCTCGCACTTGCTACAGACCACGCGCATGTCGTCGTCTCCCGCGTCATGCCGCGCCTTTTCGCTGCTGTTCCACCGTCTCCAGCATCTATCCGAAGACTTTTACGTAGTGAGCGCCGCCCGTGGTATTGCTACAGGTCCACCCACTAACGATGGCCACAAGAAGAAAGTAATAGCTAGTGGAGAATCGCTCTGCTGTCCGCAGTGCAGTGCGCCTCTCGTTCTAGCCGAGCCGCTCAGTGCGGACAAGTTGACGTCATCAAACCCTTCGTTACCCATCACTTCGGATACGTCATCTTCATCTTCAACTTCAACTTCAACTTTGTTTTCTGAGTTTAAAAAGGGCGATGTCGTCAAGTGCGTCAAGTGCAATTTGCACTTTGCACTTAAAGCGCAGACTTCGGCGCCGTCGAATCCTACGTTCCTCAATGCCGCGGCGGCAGCAGCACTGAGCTCTTTGAGTTCTTCGTTGTCTCCAGGCATGCAGACCACACGTGGTTCCAATCTAGGTGGATCCACGTACAGTGGCTACTTTCCTACCCGTCCCGGCCGCATGACTGCCGATGGCGAGACAAAAGCCAGCTAGTGAAGCGCTTTTTGGAGCTACAGCAGAATCATCCATGACGAAGGATCACGTGTTAACTCCTCGGAAAATTTATGAAGGACTGAATGAATACGTCATTGGACAGGGCAAGGTGAAGAAGACGCTTGCTGTGGGTGTTTATAACCATTACAAGCGTTTGCATGCACTGGAGCTACTACAAGCGAGAAAAGAAGCGGAAGCGACTAGTGCCAAACACAACATTGGGGATCAGCAACACCAACGTGCTGGAGGTGTCACTCGTCAACAATTGGACGTTGATGACTCGAGACTGTCGAGTGTTGGTCGCCGACTGCTGCTAGAAGAGATTTACCCTGGACCACAGAAAGAGAATGCTGAAGTGCTACCAGGATCGAAGCAACAGACAACAGAAGTGTCGGAATCGAGTACAGCTGCACATCCTCATGCGACGAGGTTGCAGCATCACGCTTTGGGGGATAAATTGCAATATCTAGAGGGCGTGGAGCTAGACAAGACTAATATCATGCTTGTTGGGCCAACTGGTTCAGGAAAGACGTTGTTGGCTAAGACACTGGCACGATTAGCCAAAGTTCCGATTGTAATTGCAGACGCGACATGCCTTACACAAGCAGGATATGTGGGCGAAGACGTTGAGTCAGTTTTATTTAAATTGTATCAGGCGGCCAACTACAACCTGGAAGCCACGCAGCGTGGCATTGTGTACATTGACGAGATTGACAAGATCACGCGTAAAAGTGAAAACGTGAGTATCACGCGTGACGTGTCGGGTGAGGGCGTTCAGCAAGCGCTGCTGAAGATTCTTGAAGGAAGCACGGTGAATGTACCTGAAAAGGGCGGTCGCAAGAACCCGCGCGGTGAGTACGTCACCATCGACACGACCAACATTCTGTTTATTTGTGGTGGCGCATTTGCCGGTCTCGAGAAGCAGGTCACGCGCCGCACGTCGCGGTCATCTATCGGTTTTGGTGCCCAGATGCCCAATATGCGCCTAAAAGACAGCGAACAGATCGGTCAGCTACTTTCTCAGGCGGAGCCAGAAGACCTCGTATCGTATGGACTTATACCAGAGTTTATCGGTCGTTTTCCGATGCTCGTAAGCACGACGGGACTAACCAAAACTGAGCTGGTGCAGGTTCTTACAGAACCGAAGAATAGTCTCGTCCGGCAATATAAGGCGTTGTTTGCGTTAAGTGGCGTGGAGTTCCACGCGACAGAAGGTGCGCTGGAAGCGGTGGCAGAATCTGCTCTACGCAAGAACACAGGTGCACGAGGCCTTCGCTCCATCTTTGAACGTGTACTCATGGAAACCATGTTTGATTTGCCCGATATGAACGATGTGCGTGCGGCGTACGTGGATGAAGCGGCTATTCTTGGACACAAGCGACCTGTTCTTATTCGAGGTGACATAACGCTCGATGAGTACCTCAAAAATCTTGAGGATGACAGCGATAAACGGGAAGAGGCTGTCTAATCATCAGTAATCGCTCCCCATCTCTTGCTGTGTGTCTCGCCGGATGCAGACGGCCCTCTGTGTTTTTGTATGACAGGTATTTTTTGACAAAGAGCGAGGAGAGAAAAGAAACTCAAAGAAACAATAATTTTTACAGAACCGCTCTTCACTAGATGAGAACCAACTCCTCAACGCTAAAAATGGTTGTAGAAACAATCATCCGAAGTGAGGCCCTCAACAGATTTTTGCAAGAACCGAATAACTTTGCCGCCATGCCTACAATCGGTGCCGAACAGATGCGATGGCCATGCTGCCAACCTACGGCACCAATATAAGGATAGAGCTGTGTGTGGAGCCAGCTAAACCTGGTTATCTTTAAGCAATGGGGTACGTTTGATATTACTCGTTCACCGTGAGAATGGTTCGAGCCAGGTGTGAAGAATCAAATCGAAGCGACACCATCAGGATGTAGTCAATGTGAAGCCAACGAGGCGAGAAGTGATCAAATTTGACGTTACTTGTTGCAAGTCGACCGCACTTGTAAACGTCATGAGATTTGAACACTTCGCAATGGCTGCTGAAGTTAAAAAACGAATTGAGGCTCTTCGTGTCATGGGCATAATGTAATAGTTTTGGCGAGTAGTTTGTGAAGCACTGTGGTGGCGTCTTCCAGCTCCTTGCCAGACAAGATCTTCGCAGCAATTTTGTCATCCTCCATAGACGAGAGCAAGGACTGAACTTCTCGACACAGCGAGACGAAATGAGTGATTTTGTGACGCTTTTGTGGCAGGGCTTCCGAGTTGTCTGCTGACCGTTTGGTTGGTGTTACCGATACATTCTTACCGAATTGATCAGATTCTGCATACATTTCTGCTGGCTCATCAGGAAACCGATCTCTAAAGGCACGGTACTGAGAATTCTGACTCTGCTTTAGCGACTGCAACGTACTAGATTGAGCTGTCTCCAAAGCCTTCGCTACACCATCCGGGACAAGCTTCCGCATTGACACACTCTGTCTAAACGGCTGGAACTCGTTCGCTAGAAGTGTTCTTAGGGCTACACCCGGCAGTTCGACAACGTTTGAGTGAGCAATGAACTTGTACAAGGCATCGAGGATCACTGATAGCAGTAGTGTCGCTTGAGTCGTCTGATGCCGGGTAGTAGCAAAAAGCTTTTGAAACAGAGCGAGCACCAGTTGCCAGACAACAGCCGTGTCGCTACCAGCTACTTGCAGGTCAAATAATGTAGCGCTCACGAATCGTGCCGTAATGATCGGTGTATCGCTCAGGGCACCATCCTGTTCCAAAATTTGTGCACTATCAATAATCGCGAGCAGATCTTTCATCACTTGCACGCACTGATTATTCTTGTTAGACTTGAGTACAGGTCCAAGTTTTGTCAGTATATACAATGATGTTTCAACAGCCCGTCCAATGCAGCGCGATCCAGCCTTTTCCAGGGCTAAGCTTCTATTGGTACGGTTTGTCAACGGCCGAAGACCATTTGCAGCGACTTGCAAGCCCCCTGTCTGCTTGCAGTGTTTCGCAAGCTGTGATAATGCCTCAGTTGACATGCGAACTAAAATGACCGAAAGTTCTGCGATGCCATCTTGTCGTGGCTCGCTGTCGTCAAACACGCCTCTCAACACGAGGAGACACATGTCAAGCACGCGTATCATTTTGAGAACACCGCCATGATTCGTTGTAGAGGCTTCTTCGGATGACAGAAGATCGAGGATTGTACCACAACATTCAAAGCATATCGGAAGATACCTGGCAACCCACTCATCCTTCATCAGTCCATTGTACGAATGCAGGAAACGAACGCCAACCAGCTTCTCTAGCAAATGCAACTGTGACGCAACACGCTGATTAAAGTGATGGCCTGGGCCTTTACTACTGATCACATCGATAACTGCAGTCACTTGGTCCATGCACACATCCTGAAGCGGTAGTGGCATATCAGTGTAGACGAAAGCAATTAACTGAAGAACTTCGTCTATCACTCCACTCGCAAGCACAAACGACTTATCAGAACTACTATCGTCCCACTGGGTAATATCAACTAGCATCTGGAGGGCTTGCACGGCGAGCACTTCGTCCCAACAGAAGCACAAAAGTTCTCGCCAGATCTCCCAGCACAACGTACGCTGCATCCAGTCTGGATACAGCGTTTGTTTCAAAAGCGTGAGCTGCAACTCGGCAATATCTTCAAAATTCAAAAAGTACCCTAGCATCAGATCCATAAACAGCTCTGTTACTTCGATCAAGCGGGAGTGTAAATCAGTCAGTGCACACTCTCGGTATCGTTGAAACAGCGGTGAGACTTCTATAGCTCGATTGAAATCGGTATATACTGTATCGCCATCAATGTTGCTCTCTGAAGCTGCAAAGGCAGTAAGGATAAGCAGGTGACTCCATTGAATTGAACTGTCAACATCTGTAGTCGTCATATCTGACGGCTGACGTTGACCCACTGCACGCACCATTTCAGCCGCAGGATGCCATAATAATGTACGAATACTTGCTCTCGTTTGACAACTTGTCGCACCTTGTGTATTACGCGCCAGCTTCACGGCAATTTCTACGGCTTGATCAAGCAAAGCACGCAACTCATACCCTGTTTTTGATGACTCTGGGATCTGACTGTGCTGTGCGGCGTACAGAAAAGTCGCGGTCACATTTACAATAACCAAGACGCAATTTTCCAGCTCACACTCCAACATATCAGTAAAAGCGACGATTAATCGCTGGAACGCCCGCCAGTATAGTTTTACAAACTTCAATACGCCAACTTCCGACACATGGGCGATATTCCCATCCAGTACACGCAACAGCTGCCCAGCACTGCATTCCACCGATACCATCACAGCAACCATCACTTCATTTACACTAAATGAATTTGCGTCATTTTTTTCAGCAACAACACTTGCTAATGTCGGACCAAAGGCTGTCGCCAATTTTGCTAAGTTCTACACACAAATGACAGATCAGTCTTATCATCTTTAAGTTCATTCACACAGTAGGATCGACTACAACCTTCCAGATGAACGTCATTGTCTTCAAGTCCGGCTTGACGTCGTTATCTCCCTCAATTTTATTGCGTAATTGCATCAGCAACGTTGCAATCTTCACCACATAGCATCTCAATCCTTCAAAGTCTTCTCGAGCTTCATCTTCAGCTTCTAAAGACTCCTGATTCTTCAACAAAGCTGCGGTCTGGTACACCAAATCCAACACGTGGTCTCCCCATTTGAGCCATCTTCTCATGTCTCCAGCACCGCCTAGACGACGTATTGCAAGCTGAAAAAACTGTAGCAATATGCCAAGAATCTTGTGGTTCTTTTGCACTTTCTCCTGCACTATCCAGACCAACAGAGCATCAAGCAGCTTTAATTTTATCTCGTTCTCTGATGTATCTCCTCTGTAGTCCGAAATAAACGTCTGCGTGACAGTAATCCACCGATTTTCTGACGCCGTTACAAATGCCACCACATCATCCAGCGCTGCTTTATGATCTTCAATACTGGCCAAGTCTCGTAGAGCTGCATGTAGTTCCGTCGCGACAGCGACATCGTCAACGCAAGCAGCAAGTCGCTGTGTCACTTCTGCCATTATTAAATAGCAATCAGAAAATGACAACAAGAGAAATGACCGCGAAGAATGTTACCATAAACGCTAAGATTATCTTTTGCGACCTTATTATCGTCAGGAATGGGTCCGTAATTTATTCCGCGATGTTTACGACTTTTGTACCATCTTATGGAAAAATACCAATACTATTCGGTATTATATAAAAAATACTTATATCAAATAATGCCGAAAATAAAAAATAAACCACTAGATGAGAAAATAGATATATAAACCAGAAAAACGTTGAGGAAAATATAAAAATACTAAGGCGTATATTATACGTGTGGCACGACAAAAATAGGTACCAAGGTTTAGACAAGTTTTTCTGCATGTCTATCTTTTCGTTTTCTCAGCTTGTGGTGTACTCGGCACTATTTGTTTTTGCAAATCCCATACTACTATACCGAACATCTTTGTTTCGACTTCATATCGCTTGACCTGCAAGAATGGACATTAGACTAGAATTGTTTTACAGATCTTCCTCCGATAAGATATGGGTACCTTGGACGACAACTGCGATATCTTACGGTTTTTGTGTGGTTTGTACATAAGAAAAACTGATTAATTGTATAATAATAAGCAGACCTGAGCAGTCAGTGTAACAGGGCACTCTCCGACTATACTGATAACAGTACAGTCTACCTACACTGATGACAGAGCAAGCAGGTGCCTCGAAACCTCATGTACACGGACGGAGGCAGAGGAAGCTATACGACTAAGAGATGAACTTAATTGTAACGAAAAAGAGACCTGTATCTAATATAGTTAAACTACCTAACAAACTAATCTGTTATAACTTGTTTAAACTATATCAAACTACAACTATGTACAGCAAAAACTGTCTTAAATGATACTGCCTAAACTGATCACTTGTCTAAGCTGCTTAAATCTTCAGTCCCGAATTCGCCCCCATGATAGAACTAATAAACCTCCATCATCTGTAATCTGATGACATTTGTAAACAAATTTTCCCTACTTTAGAGCAGTTTCGGAGCGCGAAGCTAGTGCTGTGCCCGTCATCTGGAGCAGATCGGAGAAGCATCTGAAAGTGCCTGAGATAGTCGACTGGGTCACTTTCGGGTTTTGCTTTCCCCCGAGCCAATCCCGGAGCTCCTTCTGCGTGACTTTTGGAATTACTGACACAAAGCAATGCGGACCTTGTACGTCATTGTCGTGTACTGGACCCCGCGCTGGGACATGTTTTGGATGTGATTGTGGTTGTGCTTCCGTGTGTCATTTGTGGCTCGAGTATTGGTGTGGTCGGTGTGTGGAACTGGCTAATCTGATAGCCTCCGATATCATATTAAAATTTTTGGTCCCAAGGATATCAGATGAGACAGGTTTTGATGTATGTTGACAGCTTTCCCTTCACTCATTGCGCGCGTCCATCGGTCATTATATAACGCGTTGGTTTATAAGTGGCAAAAGCAAGCGTAATTGTCAGGTTAAAGTGGATGCAGTTACAATAAGCGAATTCACTTTATGTAATGCATCTTACTTATAAAGTTACCTGAGTCAACCGGACAGTCTACATTACGGAACGACGGGTGTAATGGGGCACCCTCCGACTATACTGATTACAGTATAGGCTACTTTCACTGATTACAGTGAAAGCAGGTGCCTCAAATACCTCACGTACACGTGAGGCAGAGGAAGCTTTATCAACTAAACAAACGCTTAGTTAAGAGAGGAAAAGAAAAACTGTATTTAATATAGTTAACTATCTTAGTAAAAATAATCTGTTATAACCTATGTTAACTATATTAAACTACAACTATGTATGTTGACGACTTGCCCTCCACTCATTGCGCGCGTCTATCGGTCATTGGTCAGCGCGTTGGTTGATATGATGGCCCACATCAACCAATGAGAGGGCATCTCCAACTTCAAGGAGATCTAGGAACAATATTATAAGAAAAGGTAATATTGTCAAATATTATTAGTTATAATAATATCTTATTGACACTTCATATATGTAACGGGGCTAGAACGTACCGTCACTAGCTTACACGTGCGCTTGAGGAAGACTCAAGCCCAAGTGTTAGGTATTAAGTAAATTTAACTCATATTAATCCTATGTAATGTAGCCCATTACATCACCCCCTTCTCATGACAGCACTCACCAACCGTGAGTGCTCAACTGTCGAAAACCCTTCGCCCACAAACAAACAAGCAATGTCCGGAGACCCAACACCCAATCCAGCAGCATTTCCAAGATACATCAGCGGGAATGCATCAACCAGCATCATGGCGCGGCAGCTCATACCTTGGTCGCTGTACGACTTGTCCGGAGCTCACGCTCCGGACTCACTGGACATGATGCGGGACTACTTCCGCCGATTTCGAAAACTGCGCGGGAAAGGTCTTGATGGAATCGAGCATGAAGCTCTACAACGTTCTTGGTGCGCCTTCATCCAACGTTGGAATCGGATGCTTGAGGATGGTAGCAGCTTTCAGTTATGGCTCGCCAATCGAGAGGAGATCGCGCCGATCACTCCATCGGCGCGCTACGCGAAAGAGTGTGTGAGGATGCTTGGAATGAGGACTGTCTCTGCTTCGTCCATGTCAATGAAGGATGCCAATCTTGTGACTCGACTCCACGCCCAACTCATGACGAATGGCGACGACACATCGCTGAGTGTCCACTCAGTGATCGCGAACGAAGCTGGATTGCAAAGTATGAGCGAAGTCTGAGCGAACGGAGAAGCGCAGTTATTCGTGGTGCGCCTCGCTGGCAGCACCACTCGCGACAGCGGAGTCAATCTCCGCGGGATCATCAGCGCAGGGCAGCGACACGTTCGCTTGCCCGTCCTGCTTCGCGATTCTCGCCTCGCAATCGCGATATGCATTCACTGCGACGTTCTCGTTCACGGCGTCGTTCTCATTCGCGACATCGTTCTCGATCACGGCATCGTTCTCGTTCGCGACATCGTTCTCGTTCGCGTCATCGTTCTCGTTCCCGACGACGTGGATCTCTTTATCGCTCTCGTTTGTCACGAGAGCGTTCGCGTGCTCGCCCGCCTTGGAATAGTCCGACTTCGTGGCTTCATACGACAGAACCACATCTGGAACGTCACGAAGAAGCGAGGAACGTGGTTCCCATGTATCCTGCTCGGGAGGGAATCCAAGCCAACGTACTCGGTACCTGCGCACGGATGAAACCGCACGCTTCTCATGAGCCGACTGCAGTGCTGGTTGTGGAGGGTCCTCGTGACCCACAATGCGGTCTACAATCCAGCTCACCTGTCCCTCCGCATCAACAAGCGAAGGAGGGCCCTCGCGGTGGTAGAGTTGGCGTCCTGGTTGCTCAGGACGATGTTGATCAGGCCGTGAATATAGCTACCGATGCTCAGCTGGAGGCTGAGGCTGCCAGTGAACGTGCTGCCCAGGCGGAGAAGACTTCTAGTGAGACCCGGCAGTCGAACCGTGAACTGATCGAACGGATAAGGATTCTGGAGCGCCAGATGCTTGGTCAGGTTCAGACGGGATCGAGACCCCGACCCATGTCATCGGCGCGTCGAGCACGACGGGAGGGCCGTTCGACTTACGAACCCCTGAAGCCAGCGTCGGAGCCAAACCGTGAAGTGTAGCCGGACGATATTCCTTCAGCCGCCCGACATAGAATGTCGGGTGGAGTCGCAGTGAAGAGGGGACGTCGAGTGTATAAGCGTCGCCATTTGCCTTCAGAACCTTGAATGGACCGATGAAGCGTGGCGCGAGTTTACTCGCGCCCAGATTAGTGACCGCAGAATCCCTTAAACCTTCCGTAGATAATAATACACGGTCACCTTTCTCAAACTTGCTCATGTTCTTTTTTCCATGTTTGTCAGCGTTCTCCTTCTGTTGATCTACCGCAGATTGTAGTGCGTCGCGTACAAACCGGGTGATGGCTTGACGTTGGAGTATAAATTCCGACACGGCCATGTCATCAATTGGTCGCGCCGACTCAATCAGCGCGTAGTTGGCAGTAGGTGAACGCTTACCCGAAGACGGTTCAATCAATGTCTGCGCAGTCCATCGAGCTAATGGGGACGCCACGTCTGATGGCGTCAAATTGGCCGTCTTTGCCTTGGATCGGGTTACTGCATTCGCGCTCAAAATACCGTGAGCTGCACTCGATCCTTGTTTATCACCTTTATTCCCCCCCAGAGTGGAGCCACTAGGTGTTGTGGGTCGCCCCACGGCCAAGACAGTAGGAACACGAGGATGACGAGCCGAATTCACAAAAAATGGTGTCAACCCTGTTGACGCGTGTACGGCGTTGTTGAGTGCGAACTCAGCGAGTGGTAAAAATGCACTCCAACTTGTAAATGACGTAGCATAACTCCGAAGAACATCTTCGAGGACCCGGTTAACGCGCTCGGTCTACCCATCCGTTTCCGGATGGGCTGCAGTCGACATCAGCAGTTTTGTCCCGAGGAGCTCGAAAAGTGATGTCCAAAATGCGGACGTAAATCGCGGGTCACGGTCCGAAACAATGTTTTCTGGAAGGCCATGATGACGGAACACCGCGTCGATGAAGTGCGCCGCGGTCTCTGCCGCGGTGACCTTAGCGTGAACAGGCACGAGATGTGTCATCTTGCTGAATCTGTCAACAAAGACCAAGATGCCCGTGCGAGCTTGGCTATCGGGCGCAAGCCCGAAGATGAAGTCCATCGAAACTGATCTCCATGCCTCTGCTGCAATTGGCAACGATCGTAAGGGAGCCTGTGTCGATGGAGATGGCTTCACACGCTGGCATATTTCGCACGTTCGGATCCAGTTGCGTACCCACTTATACATGTGGGGCCAGAAGAAGTCTCGAGACACAGCCGCGAAAGTCTTTTCGCGACCTAAATGGCCGCCAGCTGGAGCATCGTGATACTCTTGAATGATTCTTGCACGCAAATCCATGTCATTGGTAATCACCGTGCGAGGAGAATCGAATTGGTCGATGTACAGAAGCAAATCGCCATCTAAACTGTATCGATGAATATGGTCGC